CATTTTATGAAATGGTCTTAAAATGACTCAAATATGATATCATTTTAAGCTCATATTTAAATCATTTTAGGATTATAATATGATCATTTTCACTTCATATCATAAATGAGCCATACATGTCTCATTTCCTGCGACCTGGGTAGTAATAATATCTGCGTCGCAAAAGAGAAAACATACCATTTTGTTTTACTTTCGATTTTGGGAACGACATATAATGATTACAATATTGAGTGTTCGTTTTCAACTCTTCGTCATACAGGATGTCAAGTAGCTCATATCCACTAGGGGTCGCAATGAGACCGGATTGGAACAGCAGCCCATCCTTCCACAAGCGCTGATTTCTAATTTTTTGGAAAAAGGTGCCAAAAATGAGTATTTCATACAGGATTTCATTAGGTTTTAGATTTTCTTCTGAAAAAACTAACATTGCCATAAGACTCGGCCTAACTGATGATCTAGGTTTCTATTCATTTTTAGATGTGACATCCTACTAGTTGTGGGGCACCTAAGAAATTCGTTATTCATTTCTACCAGTTTCTACATAAACTTAACAATGCTTTGTTACAAAATGAGTAAGTTCATCACTATAAGTACGTCTATGCTCAATATGGATATCTGGATGGTGCTGACGGATATGTGTATCAGTAAAAAAAAGTGAAGTAAAACAAATTGGTATGTTTTCTCTTGATAAAGATTTAATACGGTAAATTGTTTAAAGTTTATCCTTAGAATGAAAGGGTAATTAGCCCTACATTTTAAGGTATAAATAATTTAAGTTTAATAGATCTAGAATTATTGAACATGTTTGATTTCTATTTGGAATCAAACAAATTGTTCGGATAAGAGTAAAAAGCTCTCTTCAAATTTAGCTGACAATAAGTCCATGTGTTACAGTGTCCCTAACTGTCTTTTCAGTTGATGAGTAGGAAGCTGAAAAAAGGAGAATTGTCTGAAGACACACATATAAAAATACTATTTTGAAAAAGAATCATTGTTGAATGAGATTTGAATATGGTAATAAATCAATGTTTATTTAGATTTAATATCAGATAATTTTGACTGAATGGCTATGTTTTGAAAAGCAATTAGTAAATATTCACTAAGGTAAGCGACATGCATTTGCGCTGATTTCACATCTGTGTCGCTGGACACAAGCTCGACTTCACAAGCTTGATTAAAACATACGTTTAATAGTTCGTAATACATTTGTTCCATTGATTCATAGTCGTCTTCAGACAAATCAACGTCAAGTATCCGCTCAGTCGTTTTATTGAATATCATCTTCCATTCGGATGGGTCCATTGATTGGCATTGAGTCGAATATGTTGCAAGAAAACGTGTTATAATCTCGTACCAATATGATTTGCGAATAAATGGTCGATGATCTTTGTCATCCCAGGAAAGATCAAATATATTTTGTTGCCGTAGCCAGTTATAAATGGTCTCAATAAATACAATTATTCTAGGTGGGACCGTTATTAAGCAGCATGTTTTCGTATTAATATTCATCATATAAACCCGCGCACGATACGCTTGTTTGTTTTGGGAAAGTGGTGACAATACACGATATTTTATAGACGAGGAATTGAAAAATTCTTTCACTGCTATCCCAACAATATTTTTAGATAACAACGATAAATCGTGTTTGTTCATTGATCGTTGAATTTTCATTAACCATTTAGAAAAAATCCACGGAAAACTGATTATAATGTCACATTTGTTTTTCATTTCCATTGCGTTTTGATAGCATACTAAATAGCAAGCTGACGCTTTTGCTTTCAATTGTTCGCATTCTTGACAGTCGCAGTGACCACTGTGAGTATCATAATGTTTGGTAAATTTTTTCTCAATATGTTGAAATAAACGACGAGTTGATGTTTGCACAGATTCTTGCATTTCACCACTACAGCAAAACAACTCGATTTCAGTTTTAAAATCGTAGACTTGCATAATCTCGAATAATTCTAATTTGTATTCTTGATATAATTTGGCTGCAGGCTTTAAATAATCTTCATAATTGGGATGTATAAATGATGGATTATATTCGATGGCAAAAATATCATCTATATCGTCAATTATTTCTTCTCGAAGCTTTTTCCAGCCAGGTAATGTACGGCAAACAGACCGATAAAGTTTACCTAGAACAAGAGAAAAATATCAATAGCAAGTCTTTATCGCTAGATAAATAATGAATTATGCCTAAAACATGTGTTGATGGATAGGCTTTGTATGTTCTACATTCCATGTGATCTGGTCGTTCATTATTTAAATCTTT